GATGAGATTAACACAGAACGTAATAATACGATAATCTTGGAAATAAATTGGAAATAATATGTTTTATGCATTCATATGTATCTTTGCATTTTTGTGTTTAGAATTTAGCTATCTGTAAATTAGGTAATGTGTTAACTTAGGCTTTGTAAACTACTTGCAGGTTATGTAATGAATTGTCTCAGGTTTTAGGGATCTTGGGGTGTTTAGTTAATAGTTACAGTGGGATCAAGTGATCAGTATCAATGTTAGATGCTTAAGCTGCAAGTGTTTGTGCACGCTGTAATTTTTAAAGAAAAACATACCCACTACCACCCCGTTCAACCGTCCCATTGGTAGTAAATTTACATAATGTTATTATCAATTTGTTTGTTGGCCTATTGTTTGTTACCACCTTATTTTTCAACATAAGTGTTTGAGAAAATTTGGGTTTTGGTTGGCCTATTGTTGGTTGCCACCTTTTTTTCACCACTATCATGCTGTACCTTTAAGTTTTGGGAGATCCAAATCCAGGTGTATATACAAATTGTAGAAAAACACAGGATCTCCCGATTTTCATGTCTTACCTTTGTGTCATTAATAAATGACATATTTACAACTACAAAATGTACTTCTTGCTTATTACATTTTGCATTATTTTATTTTTGTGTTGAGGGCAACGCAAAATGTAATAAAATAAAAATGTAACAACACAAATATTTTCTTTTGTATTGTGTTCAACGCAAAACATCATAAAATTAATTTAAACATATCTTTAATATCATAAAATATGAAAAAGGTATTGTGCCGAAGTGGATGTGTCGGTTAGGAGTATGAAATGCCTTTGAGGTCCTTTATATAATTTTTCCTTTGTTAATGCATAAATAAAGCTTTGTGTCATAGAATTCTGAGTTTTTGCTTCTTAGTAAATTTGTGCATTGCACGCTCCTATCATAAAATTGCATATCCACTGAATACTAGTGGAACTGAACGCGAAGATGATTTAAAATCGGTGGAACCTAATCAATGATATAATTGGCGAATCAAATTCTAGTTGCTCAATTATACGTAAACACAAGATATGGGCATGTCCTTTTGCATTTCAACGAAATAAAAAATGTCATCTCTGAAAACCAGGAAATCGGCACATTGTATTTGATCCCTTGAAATGGAACTTGCATTATTTCATAAATTAGGAAACGGCTTATAATAAAGCAATTATATATAATCATTGGTGCGATTAATTGTTTGATTGTTTGTTGTTTAACGTCTCATTCGAGAATTTTTCGCTCATATAGAGATGTCACTATATATCGGTGAAGGGCTTCAAATTTAGACCTATACTCGGCCATCGCCTACCGTAACACGGGACCTCGGTTTTTAGAGTCTCATCCGAAGAACCCGCAACTTTCACTTCAAAGTGCCGAGCACTTGGCGAAGGAACAGTTGCTATCTATTTTTTTATTGACTTAGGTCAGTCACGGCCGTGATTCGAACACACGACCTTCCGATCATTGAACGAGCGCTCCACCGACTCAGCTACCGTGGCGGTTAATCATTGGTCTTAAAATTATGCTCAACCTAACTGACCAAAAAGTGTGTTTTTACGTTTATATTGTTGAGTTTTGCTTAATATCGACGCAAAATATAATAACAAAAAAATATAATAATCCAAAAATTATCTTATTACATTTTGCGTTATTAGATTTTGCGTTGACATCAACACAAAACGTAATAACGCAAAATGTAATATTCCTTAAAGTTTCTTATTAGAAACTTGTTGTTCTTATAGAACAATTCTTTTCTGTATTCAGTATGTGTCCTATAAAGATGAAATGTTTTGTTCTACTTTCAATTATTTAATAATTGACCATTCTTTACTTTTTTAGGAATTGCGTATTTTGGCAGGATGCCGAAAAAAAATCTTTTTGTAAACTAAAATTCATTGTCTATCAACCATATATATATTCAAACTTTACTACAATTTAATTTTGCCCCGGTAATCGAAGATTAGGGGGTATAAATTTTTTTGCCCCCTTCGTCCGTCTGTTTGTCTGTTAATCTGTTTGTAGGCAAAAACTTTAATTTTGCCCATAACTTTTGATCAGTTGGATCTATGGTTTTATTATTTCACACTTGTATTTCCTGTAAATATTAACTCTGGCCATATCTTTTGTACAGTTGGTGCTAGGGCTTTCATAGTTCAGATGTGTTTTCATTGTGACAAAGCCTTTACTTGGGTATAACTATTTTTGACATTGACTTCAAAGTTTGACCCATTTTCTTTATTGGTACAAGTCCTTTCCTTGGAAAACAACATTTTTGATCTCTTGACCTTGGAGTTTAACTTGCATTTAAGAAACTTTAACCTTCGCCATAGGCTACCATACGGGGGCATCAGTGTTTCACAAACACATCTTGTTTATTTTACAACATCACGTTTTATTCTAAAAAAAAGAAATACACCAAATGATGAAAGGATAACAATGACAAAGATAAAATACTATACTAAGTACTACTAAGCTTTCACAACGTTTTTATACTATGAATAATTAAAAAAAATGATTAAAATATAAAAGTTTGCATATTATTTTACTTCGAAAATTAATGCAATTCAAATATATCTCTTTCACTTTTTCTTATCCATAACACTAGATCTGTTCATAAAGTTAACAAACACTAGCAGTTCTTGTTTTAATGCGTTTATCCATTTCTACTAGACTTCCATAAAAGGATATCCGCTACCTTATAATATTCGTAATTTTATTTCCTAAATGGAAGACAAAAAGTTTTTCAATCTTAATATAAGACAAGCTAATTCAGAGAATTTGTGTCCCCCGCTTAGGGAAAAAAGGGCATGCACAGTTCGGGGGGGGGGGGGGAGATTCCCTCCCCTGGATTTGTAGAATAATTAAATGTATACATGTGCATGTATATTGAAGCAAATAAAAAATGCCAATATGGATATAAAGATTTGATTGCTTATTCTTTAATATGTGTATAGAAGTTTCTTTTTGTATAGAATATTAATCATATGTTTGGACTTGGCACCTCTCAATTGCTAAGCAAGAATCAAACCCCTAGACCACGGAGGCACTTGTTTAAACAGCAAATTAAATGCAAACATTATGTCACATATAATGTTTATATGCAAGTTCGATATTGTCAAAATTTTACACAATACATGGTGTCTAACTTAGCCTTTAATAAACAGTTCTAATAGATATAATTAGAATATAAAGTCCACCGACAACCTGTATAATACGTAATAACTCTCCCATGCCCCTGTGCTAAAACTTGTGCCAAGCGACTTTTATTACGATAAATAAGAAAAAAGGGGCGGGACACTTTGAGAGGGGCAAGAGAGGCCATAGGGAGCTATATTATAAAATTAATAAAATTTTATTGCAAAAGCTCAAAAGCCTCATGAGATATCGCCTGGAAACGAAAGTGTTACACACAGACAGAATGTATGAATTTAGGACTTTGAACTTTGACCTTAAAATCAATAGGATTCTTCCTTAGGTCACAGGGAGTTGTTATGTAAAATTTCATTGCAAAAGCTCAAAGGATTCTCGAGATATCGCGCGGGAACGAAAGTGTTCAAACAGATAGAATTTATGAATTTATGACCTTGATCTTTGACCTTTTCACCTCGAAATCTATAGGGCTCTTCTTTAGGCCATAGGTAGTTGCTATGCAAAATTTCATTGCGAAAGCTCAAAGGGTCCTCGAAATATAGCGCGGAAACGAGTGTTACAGACAGAAATACAGACGGACGGACAAACGGACAGACAGACCCAAAATTAATATCCCCCACTTTCAGTGAAAGTGGGGGACAATAAAAGCACATACAGTTAATATAAACCAATATACACTAAGTACATGACGCATGCATACATATAGCTTAAAAAACCACAGCATACACTGCTAAATACAATGATGAGTACATATGTAGATGAATGGTAGTAAAGCACATTATTATATAGTCTATAAATAGTCCCTATATAATCTATACCAACGCAAACAGTTCATAATTCTACATATTCACTGGATTTGAAGCCGTATTCACCGTAATGTCAGTGCGCGTGCTGCGGCATTGTGACGTCACAATCAATACCCCAAACAACGTTGAAAACAATGGTTGCAACGGCTGGAGCCAGGTGTAGATTTGAGCAGGAAAATTGTTACACAAGTCTATCAAAGGATTATTTATCAAACATTTCGATATCTTACACACAACAAAATAAAGTTATAAGTTGTAATTTGGACATTTTCTATTTTTCTACGACAGAAGTTCGTTAATGACAATGGAATCGTCATGCAGCCTTCAATGTCTTATTCATTCAAATCCTGACTATATAATAAAACAATTATTGGCTGTTCGGTGGTAAATATGGTTTGTTATTCACCAGAAACATATCAATATTTACCACGGCTTCGCCTCGGTCAATATTGCTATATTTTTGGTGAATAACAAGCCATATTCACCTCCGTACGAGTCCATAATTGTACAATATTTACCTGAATGAAATTTAAGCATTTAGTGAAGGCTATTCTATTTAAAATTTATTAAATATGTACTATTTTTAATATCATGGTATACAGCTGTTCAAAAAGGTGCACTTAAGTTTTTATCTCGCAAACCTGAAGGTCATTGTTATGTTCGATTTATGAAGATTGGAAAATTATTAATAATAAACTGAGTATAGTTTATAAATACTTCATTCTGAACAGCAAATCAAGAGACTACACAATCAGAAACAATTTCTATCAAGGAATTTTCACCGTTCTAAAATAATTTTTCAAGACAATAAAAAAATCTTTTGACAGATATTTTCTTTCTGTTGTACCTTGGCAATTCAAACTATCTTACACTTAGAGACCTTTTGATTGAAATCTACATAACTATAAAAGTACGGAGACGCTTTATATTATACATACAACAGTTATACACGTTTTCCAAAGAATTCTTGCGTCTTTAAAATGGACCAATTTTTCATGTATGACTTCAATCCTTGAAATATACATCACTTTATTTTATTTAAAATTACATCGATATTACAAAAAAAATACCCTCGTCATCAATGTATCACTTTTGCTTCAAACCAAAATCTTTTAATGAACTGTAAATCCATTTATTTCTATAAACTTTTTAAACGAAATTTATTAATTACAGACATCGTATCCAATTAACTTGAACAAATTCTTATACATACTTCAATCTTCCAAATAAAATAAAATCACACAAGTACCCCTGAAAAAAAAAATCACTTAGCAATGAAGGCGCATAACTCTAGATAATAATTTTGATCTTGTTTCCTTTCCGTTTTGTCCAATAATTCACATCTGGAATGACTGATGTCCACTAAAAAAGTGGTAGGTAATTTGTTGGTTTATGGAAAAATGGCTGCTAACACCATCATGGCAGCTGAGAAAACCATCCACAAGGCCGGGGTAGCTGAGATTCCGCCACCTACAAGAGAAAATGTGTGATATTTTGATTCCCTATTCTGGCCCCACCATACTCCCAGGGGACATGGTTTGGTCAATTTATAATCTAAACTACCTTACGAATTTTTCGCATCTTTTCTAACCTAGCTGCTCCTGAGAAGATTTTAAAGATTTTTCCTATATATTTCAATGTAAAACTGATTTCCATGTCATGGCCCAACCCTACAACCAGGGGCCAATATTTGAAAAAAATTTAGAATCTACAATACCCCTAGGATGCTCTCACACAAGTTTCACTTTTTTTCTGGCCCAGCGGTTCTTGAAAAAAATATTTTTAAAGATTTTTCCTATATATTTCAATGTAAAACCTTGATTCTCTATTGTGGCCCCGCCCTACCTCCGGGGATCATGATTTGAAAAATTTAGAATTTAGACTACCTCTGAAAGCTTCCGCGTAACTTACAGCTTTTCTGACCCAGTGGCTCTTGAGAAGATTTTTTAATGAACCAACCCTATTATTGTCTTTTCTTAATTATATTATATATTATAATTATAAATGGGCTTGCTCATTTATTTTAAGAATTTAAACTCCCTTTTGCTCAAGGATGCTTTGTACCTACTTTTGTTAAAATTGGCCGTGTTGTTCTTGAGAAGTTATAAATGTGTAAAGTTTACAGATGGACGGATAGACAGACGCAGGACAACAGGTGATCACAAAAGCTCACTTGGGCTTTCAGCTCAGGTGAGCTAAAAAGGAAAAGAACAAAACTGCAACATAAATAAATTAATCTAATACCTGCCTTAACACAACATGCAGCTTAAAGAGGAATTTCCTAATTCATTATTTAAATTTTACCTGGAGAGCCACACGCTTTTTCCGCTTGCTTGAGAGAATCCTGAACATCTGCGTAAGCTGGGTTCTGCTGACAGGCCTTTTTCTGGCTTTCTACACAGTTTTTCAATGGCATATAACCCCCACTGAAATGAATTTCAATATGAAAACATTCAGTTTAAATATGTATTAAGTGGTTTCACCCTAATCCTAAATGAAGGTTTGAACAAACTTGCTTTCATATTAAAATGACTTATCAGAGCTTTGCTGTTCTTGAATAGATGATTCCCAAAGATTTTTTTTCCTATGCACTTCAATATAAATAAAACTTTAAGGTTCATACGCCCTCTGCTCACTCATATAAAACGCTGCTTTAACTCTAATGATTTTCCAAAAGAAATGTGTTGTACAAATACAATAAAAATAATTATAGCATAGCTTGCGGCGAGGGGCAAAATAAGACAAAAGAGACATTTCAAATTGGCAAATTTATAAAGGAATAATAGAAATTTATGGCATTAAGAGTTATATCTCTTATCAGAGTATCGATGAACCTTAGTTGCCTAATGTGGCTCAGTCCTAACCGAAGGGGTCATGATTAGACAAATCTGAATCAACATTCTTTAGGGATGTTTCTATATCAATAATATGACTCATAATGGCTTTGTTGTTCTTAAGAAGTTAATTTATTTTTTAGATAAATCCAATATACATTAATTCTTATGAACAACTTTGATCCCTTGTTGTGGCCTCATCCTACCCCCAGGGGCCATGATTTGAACAAACTTGAATCTACATTACATGAGTATACTTCTGTATTAATATTAAAAATCATGGCTTTGTTGTTCTTGAGAAGATTTGTAAAGATATTTCCTTTATGTTCCTGTTATTTTTTTTTTTATCTTCTTTTGATGTCCCACCATAATCCAGGGAGTAATGATTTGAACAAACTTCAATCTACGATATGTAATGAAGCTTTTACATACGTTTCAACTTTTTCTGGACAATTAGCTTATGAGAAGAACATTTTTGAGAGATGCCTTTTAATTTTCACTAATTCTTAATTATCCCCCTTAAAAGAGGGTGTGGTCCTTGATTTGAACAAACTTAAATCCCCTTTACCCAAGGATGCTCTGCAGCAAGTTTGTTCAAAACTGGTCTAGTGGATGTGGAGAAGAATATGAAAATGTAAAAAAAAAATTACAAGAACAAAGGAGAAACTTGAATCAGAAAAGCTCTCTTGAGCCTTCGGCTAAGGTGAGTTAATAAGACAAATGGTAACAATCATCAAATGCAAAAAAAAAAAAAAAAAAAAAAGAAAACTTTACATCCCTAACAAAAACTTACTATAGTTAACTATAGTTTACTATAGTTAACTATTGTAAATACTTTTTTATTTTGGTTTACTATGGAGCTTTACTGTAGAACTTTTTGAAGATTTAGAGCCTTGACATTTCTTAAATTACATACCGATTATGTAATTTAAAAAAAACGTAAATATACAACAAATATTTCTTATTAACTTCATAAAATTACTTGTAGGAATTAAAAAAAAAAATATTTCGATCTGAATTTCATAGTAAAAATACTTTGATTTACTATAGTGAAAACTTTGATTTACTATAGTTAACTATAGTACTTTTTTGTTAGGGATTACATAATTTATAAACTTTACCTGAATATATACAAAGTATATAATAAACAGGAGTTTACCAACTTATTTTTTTGAGCTACCCCCAGTATTGTCCAAATTAATCCCAGCATCAGAGAAGCATTTCAATAAATTGCAGCCAGAATCTCCTACAAAAATCAAAATCAAGCATTGAAATTTACTTGTTACTCATCTCTGTTTGAGATTTCCTTATTTCATGGTGCTAAGATGTGAATATTAGCTCTAGATTGAAACTAAGAATGCAACTATTCTTCAGAAGTTGATTTTTTAAATTTCATTTCAGAAAACTTTGCACAAAAAGCTACTATGATTAGGATCGACTTAAAGCCGATCAATGCATGTTACAGCGATGGTAAAAGTAAATTATTTTTAAGATGAAAATCTGCTGAAATTTAAACAAAAATTAAATTTCTTTCCCCTTTCAATGTGCAAATTTTTGTTTTCCCCACTTTTGTGAAAGAAAGGGGACACTAAATCTCATTCATCTGTCTGTCTCTCACAAAATTATTTAACCATTGTCATAACTTTTAAAGAAAAAAACATGGCTTTCATATTTTACATGCACATTACCTGTGATAAGACCTTTCCAAATGCACTAAGATATTTGACCCCTTGATATTAAGTTTGATTTACTTTTTAAAAAAAATTTACAATAATCATATTTGTTGAATGAAAGAAGATAGGGCCTTTATATTTCAAATGAGTATTACCTGCATGTGACAAGACTTTTTCTTAAATATAGTACAATTTCAACCTCATGACCTTGATATTCAAGTCTTACCTACTTTGAAAAAAATCAACATTGGCAATAACTTTTGAATTAGAAAATATAAGGCGTTCATATTAAATTATGTGTGCATTACTTGAGACAATTTTTTGTTCCCCGCTTTCACTGAAAGTGGGGGATATTAATTTGGGTCTGTCTGTCTGTCCGTCCGTCCGTCCGTCTGTATTTCTGTCTGTCTGTAACACTTTCGTTTCCGCGCGATATCTCAAGAACCCTTTGAGCTTTCGCAATGAAATTTTGTATAGCAACTGCCTATGGCCTAAAGAAGAACCCTACTAATTTTTAGGTTAAAAGGTCAAAAAGTCAAAGGTCAAGGTCATAAATTATAAATTCTCTCTGTTTTAACACTTTCGTTTCCCCCCGATATCTCGCGAATTCTTTAAGCTTTTGCAATGAAGTTTTACATAACAACTTCCTGTGGCCTATGGAAGACCTCTATTGATTTTGAGGTCAAAAGGTCAAAGTTCAAGGTCGTCAATTCACCAATTTCGTCTGTGTGTTAAACTTTCGCTTCCGGGCGATATCTCAAAAAGCTTTTGACCTTTTGCAATGAAATTTAATACCATACCTCCCTATGGCATCTCTTGCCCCTCTCAAAGTGTCAAGCCCCGTTTTTTTTATTTATTGTATATTAAAAGTCGCTTGGAACTATTTTTAGCACAGGGGTATGTGGAGAGTTATTACGTATAATACAGGTTGTCGGCGGACTTTATATTCTAATTACATCTATTAGAACTGTTTAGTAAAGGCTAAATTAAACACCATTGTGTAAAATTTTGACAATATCGAACGTGAATATAAACATTACATGTGACCTACTGTTTGGATTTAATTTGCTCTATAATCAAGTGTCTCCGTGATCTAGGGGTTATGATGCTCGCTTAGCAAGCGAGAGGCCCTGGTTCAAATCCCGGACGATCCGGGGTTTTTTTAATTTTTTTTTTTTTTTTTTTTTTTTTTTTTGATTTACTATATCATACTATCCAACATGTGAAATGAGAAAGTTATACGTCTGGCGTGTACAAACTCATAAAATCATTATTATAATGTGATATATATTCTATAAATTAAAAAGAATCTTCTATACACATATTAAAGAATAATCAATCAAATCTTTATATCCATGTTGGCATTTTTTTATTTGCTTCAATATACATGTATACATTTAATAATTCTACAAAACCAGGGGGGAGGAGTGTGACCCCCTCCCCCGAACTGCGCATGTTCTTCTTTTTACCCCTAAGCGGGGGACACACATTCTCTGAATTAGCTTGTTTTCTTCAGAAATAAATGTTTTGAATTTCTTAAATCAAACTTTAACTTTGGTCGAAATTTTTCGACTAGTACAGACAGGGCTTTTTCAATTTTTTACAAGTATATTACTAATAACAAGATCTTTCAGAGGGATTAATATATTTTAACATATTTATATATTAATATAAATTTATATATTAATTTTTATATTACATATATTAACTGACTTAAAATCTGATGCAATCTTCCAAAAAAATCATCTTGGTCTTAACTTTTATTAATTCAAAAATTTACATCTTTTTTTTAAATGAACAGACAAATCAGGGCACGCAGACAAGACAGTAAAAATGTTCCATTAATTATTGCATCCCAATCAACATGACGACAAGGGTAACTTGTGTTAGTGACTATTCTTTGAATTTGCTTGTATTTCACTCGAAGGTCAAATAAATGACTAATTAGTAGTTACCGCAATACCCAGCAGCCAGAGTCATACCGCTCATCATCGACTGAAAGGTTGAATCTGCTGCACAAGCACTTTTGTATGGCTCAATACAGCTTTTCACACCTCTAACCGATCTGTAAAATATAATATTTATGGCATTTTAATATCTGTCATTAAACTGGTAAGAAACTATTTTCTGGCAATGTGGACGAATGCATTATTGTTTCTCTGTGGGTTTTTTTTTTTATGAAGACATGCTATACGTATTTTACAAAAGCATTGCAACAAACATGGCCGATATCATAATGTTTAACTTGCTGAAATTATGCTTTCAATATTGACAAACATGACCAAAAAAAAAAACGAAATAAAATTTGAAACAAAATTTAGGATGTTAATTGATAGGGTTATGATTTTTCATTCGTACCATTTTTATACCTCTTAAATGAAGATCTAGGAAAAACAGATTTTTTGGTTTGTTTGTTTGTCAGCAACAAACATTAACTTTGACAAGAACATTTTACTAATAAGGTCAGAGCATTCATATTTCATGAGTACATTCCTTATGATAAGCTCTTTCTCTTGATATCATCATTTTTGATCCTATGACCTTGTCCATGGATTTTGTCCTACTTATGAATTTAACCTCCACTAAATCTTCTAAAAATTTGGTGCTGGGGAATTCATATTGTACATTTCTTCTTGGGGAACCAACTTTTTTTTCCTTATTACTTTGACCTTGGAGATTGACCTTCTTTTGAAATATTTAACCTTGGCCACTTATGCAGAAAAGTTGGACAGATCAAGCATCCTAACAAGTTTAATACGAGATGCATCATCCATCCAGTTATGTTTAGTAACATAGAGCTTATGCTCACTTAAGAAATAGACATAATCCTATTTTAGCTTAAACCTTCTCAAAAAACATAAATATACTCTACAATATGAACCTGGCCATTCTTCTCAAATGTTTTGGCCAAAAATGTAGTATCTGCAATCTTCGAAAGGCATTGGGGGAAAAGGAGGGGAAGGGGCTGATTCTCCACTTTATTCCCAAATATAATGCTCTGCAGATAATTTACTGGAAAATTTTTCACTGACAAGCTGGTCTAATTCTCAGTCGGTCGGCAAGGCTGATCAATGCGTGATTTGGAATTTCTTGGAAAGAAATCTACCTTGAAAACTTAAACCTGGGATACCTGAAATCTGAAATATTTAGATATAGCCATAAAATTCTAAAAGTAGGTTGTGTTGACCTACTTTTCAACTGACACACTTTGAGGACCCAAGATGCATCAACTGACAAAATTTGCTGATTCTATGATAATTAGTATCTGAAAATATTTAATTACAGCCACAAAGTTCAAAAAGTAGGTCACAGTGACCTACTTTTTAGTTGACACACTCCGAGGTCCCAAGATATATCAAGTGACACAGTTCGATGATTCCAAGTCAATGAGTATCTGAAATATTTAACAAGAGGCCCAAGGGCCTTAACAGTCACCTGAGTATAATACAACAGTTTAGAGGATCCATTAACTGCTAAATAAAGCTTTGTTGCCCAAAAGCAAGAAAAATAGTATGATAAGAATCAACAAAATAATTGGTGTAGTATTTATCAGTCCCCCATTTAGCACTATTACCACGCAGACTATTGACAAAATATCTACCTTTAACCCCATATTACCTCTCACATTGGCCTTTCTTGGCCTTTGAAGAACATTTAAAAAGATAAGTTATTTTTGTCTCATTTTTATTCATTTCCAGGTCTACCTGATCATCAAAACTACGAAAGTACTTTTTGTATTATACAATAAAAATTCTTGCATAATTCTCTTTTCTATAAACCTTTCAATTATATTATTTACAGTGATTAATTATCAAAAGTGAATGGCAAAGGGGAATAACTTTTCTCAATAGAATACAAATTAACAGAGTCCTGGCAAAGACCAGAATACTTAACCAAATGGTGCAGATGTTCAAAATTCTGACAAAAATACCTTTGCTTATTAAAACTACTCTGCTTGCCTCCAATATGCCTAGGAGCACAGAGGATTTTCAAAGAAATAATGCATTTTCACTAAAAGAATTAACACATTCCTATCCTAACATCAGAACCCATGACCCAGGGTCATGAAATTTACAAGGTATCCTCATCATTATATCTATCCAATATATATGACCCCCACCTCCTTTGCTCGTCATAAGCATGCACTTTGTTTGTCTGCTCAATACCCAGTAGCAGACAGGATTATTAAATACAATTAATGCATTTTCACGATATTATTAATAAAGCCCCACCCTTAAACCAGAGCATCTGACCCAGGGGCCATGAGACTCACCATTCTGGAAGAAGCATCCTATCCTTGCTCATCATAACTATATACTAAGTTAGTTTGTTTAATACCTTTCTTTGTTTTATAATCAGGAGTAGAAAAAATATTTCGAAAGAAATTACGCATTTTTACTATATAATCAAAAGAGCCCCAGTTCACGAGAACCCCCAATCCTGGGGCCATGAATTTCACAATTTTGGAGGAGGCATCCTTACTTATCATAACCATGGATTTTGTTTAAATAATACTCAAATAATACTCAGGAGCAGAGAAAAAGATTTTCCAAGAATTAATGCATTTTCACTATATATAATCAATAGAGCCCATTTGCCCTAACACCAGAACCCCTGACTCTGGGGCAATATAATTCAGAATTTCTGAGGAGGCAGCCATGCTCATGTACATTGTTAGTTTATTCATTACCCAGGAACAGAGAAGAAGATTTTCAAAGAATTAATGCATTTACTATATAATCAATAGAGCCCCGCCCTTACACAAGACGCCCTGATCAAGGGGCCATGAAATTCACAATTTTTGAAGAGATAGCCTTGTTCAACATAACTATGTACTAAATTAGTTTATTTAATACTCAGGAGCAGAGAAGAAGATTTTCAAAGAATTAATGCATTTTCACTATATATAAAATCAATAGAGCCCATTTGCCCTAACACCAGAACCCCTGACCCTGGGACTATGAAATCCATAATTTCTGAAGAAGCACACTTGCTCTTCATAACTATGTACTTGGATAGTTTATTTAAAACTCACTAGAAGAGAAAATTTTCAAAGAATTAATGTATTTTTACTTTATAGTCAATAGAGTTCCGTCCTTACACCAGAATCCCTGACCATTGGGCCATGAAATTCAAAATTTGGGGAGAAGCACTCTTGCTCCTCATACCTATATACTAAGTTAGTGCAGAGGAGAAGATTTTCAAATAAATAATGCACTTCCATTATTTGAACTATATAGCCCCAACCTAGCACCAGAACCCCTGACCTGGGGTTATGAATTTCACAATTTTGGTAGAGAACTAATACTTATTACAATCATGTCAACAGTTTGACTGCTTGATGTCCAGGAGTAAAGAAGAAGATTTTTTAAGATTTCATTAATTTTGGTGGTTTTAGCCCCACCCCTCAGACCCCATGGTGTAGGGACAGTGAAGTTCACAATTTTTGTTCCCCTTCACAAATAGATGCTATATACCATGATTGGTTGAAATTGGTTGAGCGGTTTCAGAGAAGAAGCTGAAAATGTTCAATCTTAACGCACAACGCAACGACAAAAACGGATAGCAATAGGTCAGCTGAGTGACAGGTGACTTAAATATAGCCATAAAATTCTAAAAGTAGGTCACAGTGACCTAATTTTCATTTGACACTCTCGGAGGATCCAGGATGCATAAAGTGACAGAGTTTGCTGATTCTAAGCCAATTAGTATCTGAAATATTCAATATAGCCATAAAATTCCAAAAGTAGGTCAAGGTGACCTACTTTTTAGTTGACTCACTTTGAGGACCAAAAGATACATAAAGTGACAAAATTTGATTATTCTAAGCTAATTCCCCAAATGGAGGTCATGGTGACCTACTTTTTCAGTTGACAAACTTTGAGGACTAGAGGTGCATCAACTGATAAAGTTCGTCTTAGCTCTTTAGTATCTCAAATATAAAATTATAGCCATATTATTCAAAATAGAGGTTATCAACTTTTTGACTGAAATACTCCAAAGATCAAAAATGCAGCAACTGACAAAGTTCGATGACTCTATGAAAATAAATATCTGACATATTTAAATATAACCACGAAATTCCAAATGTAGGTCAAAGTGACCTTTTTTAGTTGACACACTCTGAGGACACAAGATAAGTCAAGTGACAAACTTTGATGATTTTAAGTCAATTAGTATCTGAAATATTTAATTACAGTCATAAGATTCCAAAGTCGGTTACAGACACCTTCTTTTCAGTTGACACCCTTCGAGGATCCAAGATGCATCAAGCCAATAAGTATCTAAATATAGTCATAAAATTTCAAAAAAGGTAACAGTGACCTGTTTTTCAGGTGAAACACTTCAAGAACCCAAGATGCATCAACTGACTAAGTTTGATGATTTTACGATAATTAGCATCTAAAAATATTTAAACATAGCCATAAAATTCCAAAAGTTTTTTGATTGAAATTACTTGAGGCCTTCAGATGCATCAAACAAGGTTTGATGATCAAAGTGTCCAAAATATATTTTAAAACAATTTGAAAATGAATGTCTGCAAAATTCTAAAAGTAGGTCACTATGACCTACTTTTTAATTAATATGTTTTAAAGTCCCAAGATGCATCAACTTACATGTACAAGGTTTGATGATTCTAAACCTCTTAGTATCTGGAATAATAACCTTAAATGTTTTTAAAAAAAAAGATTAACCATAAAACTCAGAAATTAGGTCACAGTGACTTACTTTTTAATTGACACACTTCAAGGCTCCATAATGCAAAAAATGATAAGTTTTGATGATCATAGACTTCAAAATGTCCAAAATATGCAAAAAATCAAATTGAAAATTAATACATGCAAAATTCATAAAGTAGGTCACCGTAACCTTTTTTGAGTCATGATACGAGGTCTAAGATGCATCAACTTAAAAGTTTTAATTATCCTAGGCCTTATAAGTAATCAAAATATCAAAGTTTTGAGAAAACATAATTTTTTGTCAACTTTGAAGTGACCTTAAGACCATACCTTTTACTCCAGGGTGATGCCTTGAACAATTTCAAATTTGTAACATATCCTCATCCTTATATGTAAGTTTAGTGATAATCTGCCCAGTGGTTCTTGAGGAGAAGGTTTTTAGCAAACACTACTTTTGTTTTTATTTCCCTAATTGTCTCCATTTTTTAAGGTCATATCCCTGTTTCTAGTATAAATGAGAGCACTTAGACCAAAATATTCTGTGACAAATTTGTCAAAAATTGATCCAGGGGTTCTTGAGTTATGGCCCATATTCCAAAATGTTGAAGCACACAGCACACCACTTAAATGGCCATAGCATACGCTCTTTGAGCCTTTGCTCAAAAGAGCTGAAAATGGTTTCAATAGTAATTAATTTTTAAAATTCTCAAATATAAAGAGTAAATTTTCAGGTTAAGTAAGGACTAGTGATTTTATGGCCAGGGCTAGTAAAAATTATGGAACGTAGCCCGACTGGTCTAGTACTTTTACAGGTTAATGTCAAACCCTGACATAATTTTTGTAATTCTTGGCTTTTATTGTACAGGCCTATAGGAAGCAATTTCAGTTGGGGGAGGGGGCAAACATTTTCAGTTGGGGGCACTATCAACTACCAAATTTCCTTGACAAGCCCAAAAAAAGAAAAAAAAAAGGTCATCAGACGGTTTTATTGAGGGTACAAGCACATAGTAGCTAAGTTTTATAATATTCTATATATCGGCATAATTATAGGGACAGCCCCCCCCCCCACCCCGTACCCCCCGGTTCCTACGGCCATGTTGTATTGACAATATTTAATGACAGTCAAGTTACCGAAGTAATGAATGAGTTATTAAAATCACAGGGTTTTTTTAAATTGTCTCTTCTGAGTCTGAGTGGTAAGAAATATAAGTCAAAATACAAAACTACTCACGCGCACATGGTCTGTAAATCTTGCATTGACAATGACTCCATATTTGGCATTACAAACCCCTCAAAACATTTGGACATCTCTCCCATGTTACATTCTGAAGACACTCCTGAAAAAAGTAATTTTTTTTTCTGTATAATGAAAGAAATGTCCCCATTATATTTAAATTTATATACTGTAAAATCACATATCTTCGTCGGGTCAGATTTTCATGGTTTGAGGAAAAATATTGGCACATGGGGATTTAAAAATTATGCAATTTACTATTTAATCAATTAATCCCTGTCCTAGGTGTCCAAAGTATGTTTGCTATATACCCACGCTCAAAGAACTTTTTCAAAGAAATAATACATTTTTACTATATATCCAACAGAGCCCCGCCCTAACACCCAAAGCCCTTACAAAAGGCGTATAATATGAAGTAATACTAGAACCCCTCACTAATGGGCCAGGACAATTTTAAGGAAGAAGTACACTTCCTGGTCATAACCATGCATTTAGTTCATCTTTTAAATACCCTGGAGCATAGAAGGTTATCACAGAAATAATGCACTTTCACCCCACCACGAAGAACCCCTGACCCATGGATCATAAAATTCACAATTTTTGATGATGCCTCCTAAGTTCACATCATGTGATGATAACCCTGCATTTAGTATTTTTGCTTATTACCTTGCAGAACAATTTTTTTCAAGATTCATAAAAAAGCACCTAGTTTATCTGCTAAAAAAGACGACTAAATAATTTACGCATTTTCACCATATGAATATTAGATCCCCAGCCTAACTCCAGAACATCTGCCAAAGGGCTATGAATTTCACATTTTGGCAGAGTATTCAATGCTTATTATAAATCTGCCAACAGTTTGACTTCTTCATGTCCACGAATAAAAGAATACGATTTTTAAAGAAAGCTCTTGTTTTGATGATTTTAACCCCATCCCTAAGGTCATGAAATTTTACATTTTTTTTCTACCCTTACACCCATTAATGTTATATGCAAAAGTTGTAACAGTAGTTCAAGAGAAGAAGATGAAAAGTTCAATAGCTTACGACTGAATCACTGATGGACAATGCATGATAACGGATGAAAACGCTAGCAGTGAAGGAGAGGGGAATGAATAATAAGCCTATTGAAAGGCAGACTGCTTCTCCCACAGTTTTTGTTGTAGAATGTTCAATGTTTGATTCAAACCATTGCAGAAATTACATAACCAACTCTATTTTCTCTGCAATGGCTGAAACCATTAATTTCTCAATAAACAAACGAATAAAGCATTTTGTTGTTTAAGCAATCACGTGCTATGATTACTTCTATTTACCTAACATGTCTAATGTTACAGGGTTCTGCCCTGAATCATTTTATTAAAAAAATATTTCTCATTTTTAACTATGTGTCTAAGTAGACTATGTGTCAAAGTGGACTCTCACATACAGTGTATATGTTTCATTTATAAAAGATGACTAATAATAAGTATTCGTGATTATTAGTCAATAATTCTAATTCTGTAGTACTTATTATGCAAATCATTTTGAAGTACAAGTGTAACAAGATTTTAACCCACATCAAAAAATAGTTCCAAGCCAAGATTTTAAACAATTTTTTTTCTTTTTATTACAACACTGTACTCTGTTTGCCAAGGAGCAAAGAATAAATAATTGCATTTCCACTAAAGGTTCAACACATCCCCACCCTAATACCAGAAACCCTTAACACCCAGGATCCACGAAATTCACAATTTTGGAAGACGCACACTTGATAACCATAACCATGCTCATTTATACCATTTTCAAAGAAAAAAATGTTTTTTTTCACTTTATAATCAATAGAGCCCCCTTTCCCCCATCTCCCTCCAGTACCAGTGGCCCTAGCACAAAGAAATCCACAATTAATGAAAAGAAAAAGCACCTAGGGACAGAAAATACGATTTTCAAAGAAATTGTACATTTTTAAAATATATGTTTAAGAGCCCCGCCCTATCACCAAAACCACTGGTCCAGAGGGTACGAATTTCATAGTTTCAGTATAATGTCAATCTTATACGGTACTAATTCTGATGCACCAGATGCGCATTTCGAAAAATTATGTCTCTTCAGTGATGCTCGAGCCGAAACGTTGGAAATCCAAAATATTTAAATAAAAAAGACTTGGAAGAGCTGAAAAAAGGTGCCAAAGACTAGAGCCAAATACCTCATAAAAAATATATAAGTGTAAGAAATCCTTGCTTAACATATCCATACAATTTGTCCACTAAATACAAAGGGACAGAGAAGTCATTTAAAGAATGTATACATTTTCATCTATATAGCTCTGTCCTAACACCAGAACCTCTGACACAGGGCCATGAAATTCAAAATTATAGAAGAGGCAAACTTGCTCTTCATAAACATGAATTCTTAATATCTGTTAAATATCCAGAAGTAGAGAAAAAGATTTTCAAATAACTAATGCATGTTCACTATATAATCAATAAAGGCATAGCCCTGTCATAAACCAGAACCTGATCCAGGGGTCATGATATTATCAATTTTTTAGAAGAAACACTCTTTCTCATCATATGTAATATACTATGATTGCTTAATATCCAGGAGCAGATGAAAAGATTTTCAAAGAGTCAATGCATGTTCACTATATAATCAATAGAGCAATCAATAATAATTGATGCCCTGTATGACAGCTTTTGGCGAAGTTTGCAGTTTCTCAAATGCAAGTCAAACTCCAAGGTCAAGGTCAAAGTGTCAAATTAAAGGTACACAGGGGAAGGCCTTGTCAAAAGAAATATACATGTGAAAAATTAAATCCCTAGCATCAACTGTTCAAAAGTTATGGCCAAGGTTTAAATTTTTCGAAAGTAGGTCAAACTCCAAGGCCAAGGTCAAAAGATCAAAATTGTTAGTATCCAAAGGAAGGCCTTGACACAAGGAATACATCTGTGAAATATGAAGGCCCTAGTACTAAGTCTTCAAAAGTTACGCCCAAAGTTAATTTTTTGGAAAGCTGGTCAAACTCAAAGGTCAAGGCCAAAAAAATCAAAAATATTTAATCCCTAGAATGGTCTTGTCAAAATAAATATAAATGTAAAGTATGAAGACCTTAGCACCAACCGTTCAAAAGTTATGTCCAAGGGTAAAATTAGGTAAATTCTAGCAAAATTTGGTCGAACTCCAAGGTCAAGGTAAAGAGGTCAAATGTAATGATACCTAAAGAAAGGCCATGTCACAAGGAAGACACGTTTGAAACATGAGAGCCATAGGTCAAGGTCATGCTTGTTGGGTGAGGAGGTGTTTTCAGGGCTCTCTTGTTTTTGTGGAATTAAGATACTCATAGTGGTTTTTAATGAACTGTTTTTTTTTTCCATCAGAGGATAGTTTCATGTAAAAATAGTGGTTTTGGATTTTGCTTTACCTTCTTCAAAAATTGAAAGAGAAGTCTTGAGTAGTGTTTGACTAGTATTCACCTAAGTGCTACTACTTGGGTTCACCTTGTGTTCATCTTGTGTTTACCTGTATAACTGTGTAGTGTTGTGGAGCATTACAATGTCAACAAAGGAAATAAAGGACATGAAAGCTGGAAGATCAAACACCAAACAGACAATGGACAAAGGAAGACCTTCATTGTCACTGTCATCAGTCTCAGCTGAGGTTAAAGGCCAAGTTGTATCTATAAAACCAGCAAGCAAACAGAGGAGAAATTCATCTGCAGGAGATCAAGATGACAATTCAGAAATGGACAACATCAAAGTTACTCTTTCCTCCGTACAAGAGACCCTTAAAAAACTGGTGACCAAAGATGACATAAAGGATCTAGTCAAAAGTGTTATTGTGGAGGTAAAGGAGGAGTTAAAGAAGGAAATGAAAGAGGAGCTTAAGAAGGAGATCAAAGAGGAAATTAAGGTAGAGATGTTGCAGGAACTAAAAACATGGATGAGAATAAGAGTCAACATGGTCAAGAACTTTCCACGATGAGACAGCAACTCTCAGACAAGGTGGATAGTTTAATGATGGACAATGACACCAATATGGGGAATGTATCACAGCTGAAAAAAAAGGATCAGTGTATTGGAAAAACAGTTGAAAGAAACAAATGGAATTGCCAGTACAGCAATTAGCATGGCAAATATGAATCAACAATACTCCCAGAAAAACAATATCAAAATTCTGAATTGGCCAGAACAACAGGGTCAGAATTTAAAAGAGGAGTTATGTGCTCGGGTGGCTGAAAAAGCAGGGGTCACTTTGGACCCAAAGGACATTCTGGCAATTCACATAATTCCATCAAATGACAAAAATCACCCAAAACCTGTGATTGTCAAATTTGTTAGTAGTGATGTGAGGAGGTCGGTGATTATAAAGAGAGAACAATTAAAAGAGGACTTTATAATGTTTGATCACATAACCAACATGAATGCGCAGCTGCTGAGAAAACTGAGGGCCGAGGAGAGACAACATATTGTAGATAGTGCGTGGTACTACAATGGACACATCTTTGTGTTGGATACAAATTGGAAAAGACACAAGATGGATGTAAGGGATGATATTGACAAAAAACTTGCGATATAAGCATGTACTTCGAAAATGTCCACAAACAGGAGGAGCTTAAAGGACAAGGGTGACGTTTGCCTAAAGGCGAGGTATGCCTAAAAAATGTAAAGAGTCAATAACTTTCTGTGGTTTTCCATGTTTGAGTGTAAGTGTAAGTTTATGTGTGCACTTTCAATTATATGTAATTTATCATAATAATAGTGCCAACAGTTTATCTGCTTTTCTCAAAGCCTTAAAAATTTATCAGTTTTTTCATTGGAATTAGAATGTAAAGAATTAACTTAACATGTCAAAGGTTGAAAGCTTAAATAATTTAAGTATGAATGTTAGAGGTTTTTCATCAAATTGTCAAAAACGCAGGGACGTATTCAACTGGGTAAGAAATAAGAATGTTTCTATTATATATTTTCAAGAAATTCATAGTACAGAAGAGGTAGAGAAGTTATGGGAATCCGAATGGGGTTATAAATCTGTATTTAGTAGTTATACTAGTAGCTCAGCCGGAGTAGCTGTTTAAGAACAACTGTGAATTTCAAATCCATTCTGTACAAGAGGACCTCTCAGGTAA